TCCGATCTCCCCAAAACCCCAAAACCCCAAGTTAGAGCATAGAGTGATTGTTAGAATATTTTTAAAATTGAGAAATAATATAATAAATTTTCCGCTAAAATACAAAATTAAGTAAGAATGGATATTGGAATCCTTAGACCTAGCAGTTAAAGCTCCTAATCTTCCTAGAACAATCTACTAACTATCTCCGAATATGAGGAAATTGTGTAACGCCTTGAAGATTCATTTAGACTTCTCGATATGGTTAAAGATGCCCTATCATCTTCAGACAACTTTGATTAAATGAAATAAGGCATTGAATAAAAATGCGAAAAAGTGACTGTCAGAGTCAAAATAGTCAAAAAGTAAAAGTAGACGATGTCCACCACTAATCCTAGTCTGACTTTACACATATTCAAAGTGGAGATCACCGACATAGAGAAGAGAGGGTATCTGATGATAAAAAATAATAAGAGTAGAACCTTGGCTCTAATAGATGGTCAAAATTATCTTTTAGACAAAGTCAAACTAATTGTAAATAAAAGAGGAGAAATAGTCTTGAGTAGCACTTCAGTCACTGCAATTAGGTAAGATACTGGTCTAATACATTTAATTAAGGGAAGAAAAAGAGGATACATTTACAGTAGAAAGCTTAGAGCTTAGTCAAAGAGAACATGATTAATCTAAAGAAATCAAAGGAATGAATCGAGACGAGGGCAGCGATGCTGAGAATAATTTCGCCATTAGCAATTTTATGGGAGGTGCTTAAAATTAAGAATTGGTTGTATTTTAGAGCACAAAGCAAATTATCACACACTGTGAGGAGATCCTAAGCAATGACCCCTCAGATGAGAGCGAGAAAAAGTTGTGGAACTATAGAGAGCTCTTATCATGGAAGATGCCTGAGCATTATAAGAAAAACTATCAAGCTAAGTCATTGAATCGTCCTCGAGTTGGTGCTGGGAACGCCGGTGACTCAAGTCTCCCATTTAATAACCAAATTAACCTTTTTATCCTTGAATATATTACTTCTAGGTTAAGGGAATAAAGAGTTAGTTTCTGTGGTATTGTTTGTCATATCAAGTAATATGTAAGCTTTAATTATTACATACTGTCCTTTAAACAGCTTTCAGGTTGATAAGTAGAACATGCAGAAAGATTATGAAGGATCGAACCAAATGAATTCTTAAATAGATCTGGAAAGTATCGACGATAAAAGCAGAGTATGTGTCTTTGTCAGGCACTCTCCCAAGATAAATCTCAAAGATACCATCCTAAAAGATCAAGTTGTACTTATCAAGAATGCATTGAGAAAAGTAAGTTATTTTTTCTGATAGAAATATTAGGTCTCTAATAATCTTGATATCTATGTTCAACTGTAGTATTCATCCAAGAATCTCTTAGTCATCGGATAGGCAAAAGACATTAACAATTTTTAAGCAAGTGCCTCTCTTCAACTTATCAAGACTATTCCATCAGATAGTATTGTTCGACATATCATTAAAGTAAATACTAACTGCTAACCGTTATTGATAGGTTTTTGGTTTTATTGCTGAAATAAACTTTATTAAAATCTAATATAAGTGTGATGTATGTAGAGCCGAGACTATGAATGAGTAGGTCTGTAGAAATGGGTGCTTTATTAGAGAGCCTTTCCTTAATATATAGGTGCTATGCTAAATTCAGGATGGAACCTCGAAGGCATCTCTTGAACTCAAGAACGACAAAGTTAAGAAGGCATTTAATATTACTGATGGAGACATCAGAAGATTCAAAGATTATTGTTTAAAATATGGCACTTTCATGCATCCTAGCACAAATGTAAACTATCTATACAGAGACATAGTCAATGTGTTCAAGAAGAACGAAACCTGGAGCTAGATGATATTCTATTGCAAAGCTTACTTCAAACCATCGAATGATAAGAAGTCAGGTGCAGTTGGAGCTTAGCAAGGCAAGTTTGGGGCGAAGAGCGGGGGTAACTACAATGACACGATTTCGAAACCATCATTTTTGATGAAAACATCCTAAGAGCAAGAGGTATTCTTGAATGGAGAAGTAACCACAGTGAAAGACGTTCCAGGATTCGGAGGTGGGCAGTTGAGGTCAGTGAAGAAACCAAACGTGTGTCTTAAATGCTTGCAAGTAGATGACAATCTTAGAAGTCAAGCTGTAAGAAATGTATTCAACAATAGATATTGAGTCATAATAGTTAATTAAAAAAACTCTTAATATGAAGATTATTAATTTTAACAAACACATTGAGCTAATTAATTTCAGATCTTTTGCTTCTTCTTCTTTGGCTTAACTTCCTCAACTTCTTCGTCATCTGATTCGTCTCTCTTTCTCTTCTTATCCTTCTTTTTATCCTTCTTCTTTTTCTGTTTCTCATCTTCAGATGACTCTGCTTCATCATCTGATTCTACCTTCTTCTTCTTTTTGTCTTTCTTGCTATCTTTCCCTGAGGTCTTTGCCTTGGCAGATCCATCATAATAGAGACCCTCTCTCTTGAGTTCCTCAATGACTTCTTTCATGGCATCGGTATTCTTCTTTGGCTTGGCTCCTGAAGCTAAGAATAATAGTCTCTCTTCCATTTATTGTCTAAGTTTCTCACCAAACAAGTTAGTTTGATGGGTGCCCTCAGTGAATGAATCGATTCTTGCAGCAATAGCGCATTTGTTTGCAAGGTATCTAGAAATTCTACCCTTGTTCTTCTGACCAGCTCTTCCAATGAAGGATGAGTTGAAGATAAGACCATACTTGGGGGTCTTACCTCTGGTCTTAAGAGCTCTGAAGAGTGCTTTTTCGGCTCCGAGAATTTGGATGGTTGATGCTGGGCATTTAGCAAGGTTTGTTAAACTTCCTGAATGAGAGATAAGCTTTGAACCGACCATCTCACCAATGAGAGCAGTCAAGTTTGGAGCGACGGCGTTCATTCTGTTTTTAAGATATTCTTGTAGTCTCTCTCTGAATTCGATTTGATCAACAACTCTCTCTGAGAAACTCTTTACTTGGAGAACATCAGTCTCAGACATTTCTTGACCCATTGAGATTTTAGCAGCCTCAATTATTTATTAAGCCTTCTCTTCATCGAGAACGATGGCTGTTAATCCGTCCTTCATATCTTCATTAATATTCTCTCTCTTCTCAATAAAGTGAACTAACTTTGCGAAAATCAAGTTGTCGTTAACGATTCTATTGAGCTCGGGGAAGTGCCATGAGAACCACTCCTTAAGTCTCATACAGAAGGTATTGATGTTTTTGTCCATAGTCTCGATCAAAGCAATAGCCTAGATAATTGGCTTGTCTTGTCTGTTCACATCAGCAGCACATTGCTGTCTTGAGTATTAATGGGCAAGACCTAGTTGAGCTCTTCTAGAATCTTCCTCGCTGACCTTCTTCAAGATCTTTGGCAAGTGAGTTCTAATTCCTCTGAGTAGTTCTTCAATGGACTCATTGTATGCAGCAGTGAAACCAGACTCGGCGAAAATTCTAAAATAACAAGTTAATACTATCTCTTATGACTTACTCTTGACCCATCTTTGGCTCAGCAATACCTAAGAGGAACTTTTGCTTCTTAGAGGATTTGGTAGCTGGAAGATTTGTTTGCAAAAAGTTCTTGAGAGTCTTTGGCACTTTATTCTAAGCAATAGCAGTGATATTATCTAAGGCTTCCTCTGCAGTTTAGAATGGTTGGAAAGCAGCAAGCTTTACCATCTTAGAGAATCTCTCTAAACTGGAGATTGATTTTTGAATGGCCTTCATTTGACCTCCAAGCTCATCAAAATCTTCCTTTTCGAAGAGGGCATATCCTGATGCACTTTCGTACAGTATAAAAAGCTACATATTTGTTATGTTTATTTGAGACCTTAATAAATTATATAATTGATATTTAATAGCATATATTTTTCAATCTTGACATGCAGGGGTTTTGGGGTTTTGGGG